TTTGGTTTATGGCTGATGGTGGAGGACTCCCGCCCAGTCACAGCCGGCCGTTCTCCCTCCCTCCCTCCCTCTCTTTCTCTCTCTCCCTCCCTCTCTCTCTCTCCCTCCCACACTCTTTCCTTCCCTCCCTCCATCTCACTCTCCCTCCCTCAGTCGTATCCTCCGTCTTTGTAGTTCAGTTCCACTATCTCTACCTTCCTCTCCCTCTGTGTGAATGGTCTAATGTCACTGCTTATGTCATGGTCAAGTGCCAGTACCTTTCCCTCATGGTCGGCTGCCAACACTCCTCCCTCATGGTCGGCTGCCAACACTCCTCCCTCATGGTCGGCTGCCAACACTCCTCCCTCATGGTCGGCTGCCAACACTCCTCCCTCATGGTCGGCTGCCAACACTCCTCCCTCATGGTCGGCTGCCAACACTCCCTTTACAGACTAGCCGAAGGTTCATTGAAGCATTTCCTGCTGACAACTGCTTGACTAAATAGATCATGCATTCCAAGCACTGTCACTCACTAGAGCGTCTGCTGGGCGTCTGCTTGGTGGCTCACCACACCTCTGTCCGCCATCACAGTCATGGGTGTTGCTCACTCGCTAGTAACTCCCCTTCCTCTACACACACACACACACACAATAAGCTCAGGAACCATTGACAGTTGTGAGGCGGGACCAAACAGCCGGAGCTCAACCCCCGCAAGCACAATTGATGAGTACAGTTGCGCTCGCTCCTTATATGATGATTTGGAGTCTTTGTGCTATCATTGAATTCTTGTTTAGGCTATATATTTCAATGTGGTTTTTACTAGTCAATTACAGGGCTCTGCACAAAGTTTGTATTGAATAGGAAGTTGTGAGCGTTGACAAATGTCACACACTGGTTAAAATAATAAAATTAAACGTTGTTTTTTATGGCAAAAGTTCATGCTGGTGAAGTAACTCCATTGACGGAAACACCTTCAATATCAACTCATTCATCGAATTTCATGTTTATTCTCCCGACCGCAAATGCCACTCTGGTACCAATTTTGAGGCCATTGCCTCCATTGTGTAATAACATAGAGTATTGTAGGAGTTGTTATCCCGCAGTCTGTCAGCGCACCGTAAACTACACCCACTTATTTCCACCTTCACTATTTCATTCCTCTCCGTCGTTCACACGAAGGAATCAATGTAAAATAATGAGTTCCCCGACGCCCAGCGGTAATAAAGAGGGCCTCGGAAAACACAGACTACCCACCATGCACGCACTCCATCATAATCAACGACTTGCCACACCGAAAGCTTTCACAGCTACAGCGATCACGTCCACGGCCCTCCCAGATACTTCGATCAATTCACTTTGCTTGGGGGGTTCGATACCTCTAAACGTTATTGTCGCTAGTGCCCCCTACCAGGCCTGGTAGCTATCCTAGTCGTCCCGTTTTCTGTTGCCAAGCGTTACGTTATGTAGTTACAGCACGGCTTATAGGACTCTGGGACGACAAGATAAAACTGTTTTGTATAATTATAACGACTGAATAGGATGCACGGGATTTAGTACTGCAAATTAACCGGAAGAAGTTTATAGTAGATGTGGTTTATATTTAGACTTTAAAAGAAGATACATTAAGTCAAATTTCAAGTGTATTTCACTTGTTTGTATCTGGTGAGAGAGAGAGAGAGAGAGAGAGAGAGAGAGAGAGAGAGAGAGAGAGAGAGAGAGAGAGAGAGAGAGAGAGAGAGAGAGAGAGAGAGAGAGAGAGAGAGAGAGAGAGAGAGAGATCAGCCACGTCACTCGTCACGGCTGAGGAGCCTCACGAATAACTTAGTATGAATATAAATTGGATATTGAGGCACTGAGTTGCCTAAACAATAAAAAATGAATGGGTGTTGCAAGTGGTACTACCGTCAGCCGGGGTATGCACTCGGGGCCAGAATGACACATGGCCTCAGAGTAAACACACTCACCAGCACATAATCAAAGGACACCCTGTAAGGTCCCCCCCCCCCCCCCCCACTACTCTCCTTCAACGACCTGTGCCATTGTTTGAACGCGCTCTCGCAGCAATATTTTTTTCAATCGATGATCATTTCTTACTCTTGAAGGATCTGGGGATAGCCGTGTTTGAGATGTGAATAATAGATCTTAAGTACCTTCTTGGAATGTGCTAGTATGTGCCAGGGTAACTCGTGAGGGAATAATGTTTTACTGGTATGTGTACTTGACCTCTTACCAGGTGTCGTGGATAATTTCGGACATATTTGTCGTTTCTTGGTTTGTTTTCATTTTTACGCTTCATGCGAATCACGTTTTTTAATAACCTTTTTGTTTATTATTTCCCATGCAGATGTTATGGCCGAAGCAGTGGTCGACGTTGAAGACGGAGGAGGCGGCCAAGACGCTTTTGCCTGACCTAGGAGGAGGAGTTCCTGGAGGAACGGCGTCGCCTTACAGGTGGGTCCTCTCCCAGCAACGCCCTCCTCTACATCTTCTTAATGTCCTCAACACTGTTACAATTTAATATTTTCATGATATTTTATGAATTTATCTCAGTAGCATTTTAAAATTTAATATACCTAAATGCAATACCAAACGGATATACAATGCAAACATTTGTGTGTATATACATGCAATTAATCATTGACTGATTAATATTCGTGTCAGCAGTGTTCAATCGTTTGTGGATCACCCGACGAGTTACCCATCCGTGTCAGCCGCTTCCATCTCCACGGACGCTCTCTACGAGACTATGTCAATGACGCAATCCAATAGTAACCATGTGTACTCGCCTCCGCTCGCCACCTCCCTCGGTAAGTGGTCCCTACGAGGCGGCGCCCTTCTCCATACCTCCGTTGGTAAGTGGCCTCCGGAAGAGCTGGTGGTCCTGGTCTTATGTTCATGGTGATGGGTATGATGGTCCGTAGTTCCAAAAGTCCTGGTTAGATAGAACTCTTTAGAGCAAGGCAAGAAGTAAGCTCAAGCAAAAGAGAAGACTTCTTCTGAATGGAGAGTGAGACAGAGCTCTAACTCTCTGCACTTCTGGTTGGCCTCCTACAGGTAGCGCAGGTGGACTCACGCCTCTCACACCCATCACTATGCAAGACGTGAAGCCAGTCCTAGCGGCACCTTCAGTCCTTGATACCAACGTCTCTCAGTACCAGCAAGGTAAGGCTCTCATGCGTGCCACAGGCGGTACCTCGCGTCCTGGTATAATCTTAGCATACATGATATGTTCTCATGATATAATCCTGCTCTTCTTATCCATCATGGCTAATGCGGCCTCCGGGGAACTTGGTTTAATCATTGGCCATAATACCACAAAACAACCATTCTGTTACCACCTCCACAAGAACAACCATTCTGTTACCACCTCCACAAGAACAACCATTCTGTTACCACCTCCACAAGAACAACCATTCTGTTACCACCTCCACAAGAACAACCATTCTGTTACCACCTCCACAAGAACAACCATTCTGTTACCACCTCCACAAGAACAACCATTCTGTTACCACCTCCACAAGAACAACCATTCGCGTGTTCCGACAATTGTTTCACACTCGTTACCTATGTTCTTAATGCTCATAGACAGATATTTATATATAAATGACACGGGGTTTACATCAGGAATTAATATCGCATCTCGTGAGTAAATCTTGGTGACATACTTAAATCATCACCCGGCACATCTTTCTAGAGTCGTCCGCCCTTGCCACTGTGCCAGCGGGAATTGCCTCTAAGAATGGGAACCAGCCCCCAAGTTTGGCCATAAACTCTGGGAATCACCGACCACAAGTCCGTCTTGGAGGTTGTTAAGTCAGCAAGTTGGCTAGGGACTCATCGCTCCATCTGACGCAGACTTAAGTTCTTGTGGCAGTTTCTTGCTTAAATACAATATTTTGTTTACATTAGAGAGCTCAAACTTTACCAATACTCCTATTTAATCATTAAGAGGCATTAGGATGGTAGAGAGGCCATCTGGGGGGGGGGGGTGCCTGTCACTCAACACACCCAGATCGTCAGCTGGGCGCTGTGTCTGCCGCGTCTCAGACCAGCAATAATGTCCCTGAGAAACTCCCGCTACTCCGAACTCAGATTCGATTATAGCAGGAAGCAGGAAGACTATTCATATTTTCCATAATTCCCTCTTCCCCTCTCTCTCTCTCTCTCTCTCTCTCTCTCTCTCTCTCTCTCTCTCTCTCTCTCTCTCTCTCTCTCTCTCTCTCTCTCTCTCTCTCTCTCTCTCTCCTCCCATCTCCGTCATTCCTCTTTTTCTCCGTGACTCAGACGTCAGTTAGCCGGCAGCCATTTTAGAGAAGACCTTTCCTTTTTATATTGTGTTTTTATTTGACCTCTCGGCAGCTTTAATGGCAATTCCACTCCCCAGTCACCAGTAGTAGTATGTGGTCGCAAATTTAACCGAATCATATTTCTCCACCCAACAAATTCCCTAATGATATATTACGGTCTAGTGAACCACACGGGTAAGATATCCTGGGCTGGGGAGGGTAACTCATCTTACGTCCGCCAACAATGCTCCAGACAATGGTGGATTTTACAGTCGCGAGCTGGTATTCAGCCGCGGAATTTTATCGCAGTTTCACTGCCGTGAAAAGCGGGATTCTGTGAACGCTTTGATTTATTGTACCAGCTGGCACCACCTCAGACGAATAAGACAGTGTGAACAATAACGCTAAACTCAAACTGTAATTCCTCTCACACAAAACGTCAGGCACTTAAGAATAGCGATGTCAATAACCTCACCTGGTACCAGTTCCGTCAGTCAAGATCAGAACTGCACTCTGAGATGAACTCTTCGCCACTCATGCGTTCCGTCTGATGAATGAACGGCGTCACGCACTCATCATGAGTTACAGGCTCATGGCTGCTTCCTTTACCTAATCCACTCTGCTTTATCTCATTCACTATTTCACCTAACAATGTCATTAGTTTACAACTCATTATTAGTTTCCTGATTAAACACTTGTTCAATCACTTTATTCACACTTGACGAGAGGTGTCTGGTGACTGTCAGGCGAGGCTAGCTTGAATTGTCAAGCAATCTGTCATAACCTTGGTATATAGGCCTCTCCCCTTCACCCAGTCCTGCATGAGAAATTAATCTGTCCTTGAGTATGTTTAGTGAGAAAAGGAACTGCAGCATGTGTGGCAGCTAGCATGACCCAGCATGGAGATACTAACACCACAATACTTTGTTTTGATTTGGAGTAAATGTTTTATATTTGACTTAAGCTTCAGTTTAGCTGAATATGTTCAGTAGCCTCATTCATTAAATCATTTTGCACAATACACATTAGCATCTGTGCACAAATTTTGCACTTTGCACTTTGCACTTGTAGAATGTACCGAGAGGATGCAACCCGCCTAGTACAGGTGCATAGATTATTTTACCTTTATATCCTAATGACATGAGCAGGTGGCGGTTACAGCCTCATGACACACAACAGAGTGGCACCACGATTGTGGCTCCGTTGTCACTCTTGCCATCTCTCCATGACAGCACATCGTGATGAGTGCCATGTCTTGACCGCCGCTTGCTCTGTTATGTACATCTGTAGTTAAAGGTGCATCCTGTAGATAAGTCAGATTTACCGTAGAACCATCATCGTCCTTTCTGTTGGAACAGGCTTGACAATTTACTCTGCCTAAGCACTTATTTATATCCCTTTGGCAGAGTTCTTGTTTGGTCCCTTTAACAGAACAGATGACAGCTCATTCGCTAAATATCTTGAATGCTCTCAGAATGATCTTGTTGATTTATGGTGATCTTCCTGTAGACTATTGTAACACATTCGTGAAGCTTAGCATACGAGAGCCATTCTGAGAGATTATTGTTTACGAGGAGCGTGATGAGAGAGAGTAGCTAGTGCGTTGATTACGGCTGTTGTGGAGTGTGTGTGTGATGGCCAGTTGTTGTCTGCACGTCAGGAGGGACCGTCTACACGCCCCTCAGCACCCCCCAGCCCACCTCCAACGCCGGCTACACCAACTCCCTGGCTACCCACTACCCGGAGCAATCGTCAGCGTCGCCAGCCAACTGCAGCAGCGAGAGTGTCGCGCCCCTGGACAATCTGGTGGTGGCGCCTTGCTCGTCGCCGCTCAAGGCTGACACGCCCTGCACCACAGCCCTCACAATCCTACAGCCCGCCTCACACGCCCACGCTGCCACTCACCACGTCCATGTATCCACTCATGCGCATGCTCCTGCCCACGTGCACTCCTCAACGCATGCCCACGTACCCATGCACGCCCATGTAGCGGCCACCCCTGAACCAACCTACACCGCTCTCCCGCCCATCACCCATTACTCAGGTAAGTGTCCCATCTGCACCCGCACGCACTCCTGCATGTGTCCACGTGTCTCACTGTGTCCTGGCATGTTCACTATGGCGACGCCACACCACAGGCCCAGCACTCCACTTTGTAGCACAATGTTCTCCAGCGACTCCTCCACCACTTTGGTGACCACTCTACCAGTATGACGTGAACTGTTCAGTCTTCTTCAGACACCTCTCGTCTTAGTGTAGCCAAGGGCCTCTCCATCTTCTGTTTCCGTAGGCCTATACTTACTTCCCATTACCACGGTAATTACATTTTATTTTGTCTCATTTTTAAAACTTGTGTTTAATTTAGAATTGCCTAGAAATATTTGCCAATTTTCCTTCCTCCAAAAATGTCCACATTGTTTGTGTGAGCCGGCACTTCCCGAGTGATGAGTTGATAAAGTTGCCTACAAGAGCTCATACTAATGCACTGTGATTTGTTGACTTAAGCAGTTCAAAACCTAAAACGTTCTCCAATGAGTGATGCAAATGATTCGACTGTGACTCACATGGGTCAGTTATGTGTCACATGACTTCGTTTTAAGACATTTGAAACTATTACGACTCACATTAATCAGTTTTGACTCACATGAATCAGCTATGACTCTTATAAACCAGTTACAACTCACTTGAATTAGTTATAACTCACACAAATCAGTTACGGCTCACATGAATCAATTATGAATCACATGAATCAGTTACGACTAACTTAAATCAGTTATAATTCACATGAATCATTTACGAGTCATATGAATAAATTACAACTCACATGACTCAGTTACGGCTCACAAGAACCAGTTAAACCTCACATGAATCAGTTATAATTCACAGGAATAAGTTGCGTTTCACATCAATCTGTTACCCCTCTCATAAATCAGCTACGATACGATGATTGACTGGGAAAAAATAAATACTGAAGTTGGAAACATCCAATGGGAAACACTCCTACGTAAGGCATAGAATAATTGACTGCCAAAACATGTGCCTTTGCAGAGGGTCACGAAGAGGACCACTCTAGAGAGAGAACGCAGACTACAAAAGAAGAAAACAAAATAACGGAAATGCGTAAGCAGACATGACTATAACGTCAAAGACAAATAAATTTCAACACGGAGATCCAAGGAACAGAGCAGACGCTTAGGCGATCATACCAGTCTGAAATTGACACAGAAAGCTATACAAGATGTAAAGAAAAAGCCAATATGTTTTCACATATGAGAAATAAATATAAACAGTATTGGACTTATACATGCAATTGAAAGTTTATTCGGAGAGAATGACAAAGGAATTAATGAAATCCTAACAGATCAGTATTTGGCTATGTTTAGCCTCATACTGGTGGTATGAGGCTAAACAACATAAAAATGGAAGATTCAAATAGCTTCTTTATGAACGATATCCAAGCCTCGAACAATATAACAGATATTAACATGAACACAGCAGACTTTTGAAAGATAAATAGACAACTTGCCTATACACTCAGCCCCAGGTTCTGACTCCTGGAATTCAGCAATGATAAAGAAATGTTAAGTACCAGTAGCACGAGTGATCAATGTAATATGGAGGAAAAACTTTGATACAGGTGAGATAAATAAAGCACTTAAACCAGTAGATATAGCTCCACTGCACAAGGGAGGTAGTACAGCTGTGGCCAAAAACTATAGACCAGTCGTACTAACATCACACATAAAAAAAAAGCGTGATTAGGCATCAAATCTCCAGTTTTATGAACATCTGTGAACTTCACAACCAAGGTCAACATAGATTTATAGCGGGAAGATCCTGTCTTTTGTAATTATTCAACCACTATGACAAAATTACGGAAGTATCAGATGAAAAACAAAATGCAAATGTTGTATACGAGGACTTTGCAAAGGCATTTGATACGCGCGACCATTGAGTGATAGCCTATGAAATGAGATCAGTAGAAATAATGGGTAAAATAGGGCGTTGGATTATCAACTTTTTATCTAACAGAATGCAAAGAGTAACAATAAATCAAATCAAATGAAGTCCGAGTACAGTGAATAGCTCTGTACTCCAGGACAAAGTCCTAGCACCACTGATTTTTATCATTTACATATCAATATAGACAAAATTACAAGTCACAGTTTCTTGTCATCCTTTGCAGATGATACAAAAATCAGCATGAAACTTACTTCTGTAGAAGACAATGAGAAACTTCAAGCAGATATTAATAAAGTGTTCTATTTAAGCGACGGAAAATAAAATTATGTTTAACAGTGATAGGTTTCAGATACTTAGGTATGGTAGAAATTAATTTAAACGAAATACAGAGTACAATATACAATCAGACCTACCCATAGAAGGAAAACAAAATGGAAAAGATCTATGAATTATGTAGATTGAGTACCTGATAGCGAATGAACATAACCAAACAAGCATAGCGTTAGGCAGGAAAATGATATGATGGATTTTAAGATCAAATCCAGGGATCCCACCGCAATGTTGATACTATTTAAATCAATGGGGCTGTCCCACCTTGAATACTCGGTTACTAGCTTCCGTTTTCAGTCCAGGAGAGATTTCTGTATACAGAGTGAAATACGCATAGACAGGATAAAACACCTAACTTATTGGAACCGTCTCAAAATTCTCAAAGTTCTTCATATATTAACATGAAGATCGTCTTTGGAAATGAGACGAGAGAGGTATCAAATAATATATACTTGGAAGAAACTGGAAGGCCAGGTCCCAGATTTGCACTGTAAACTAACAATATACTCGAGTGAAAGATACGGAAGGAAATGCAGAATAAAACCAGTGATGAGCAGAGGTGCCATAGGCACAATCATAGAGTACTGCCTGAATATCAGAGGTCTACGGCTGCTGTATTCTCCCAGCAAGAATGCGAAATATTGCCGGAACAAAGGTGGACTTTTTCAAGAAGCAATTAGATTAGTTTCTGCAAGAATTGCTGGACCACCCGGGTTCTTGTGGATGGATATGTGGGGCCTGCGGGCCGCTCCAAGCAACAGCCTGTTGACCAAGTTATTACAAATCGAGCCTGGCCTCAGGCCTGGTTCGGGGAGTAGACGAGTTAACTCCTGGAACCCTTTCCATGTACAAAACTCATATGAATCAGTTACGACTCACATGAATCAATTCTGAATAACACGAATTAGTTATGACTATCACGAATCAGTTACGACTCACATGAATAAATTATTACTCACAAGAAACATTTTCGACTCGCATAAATCAGTTGTCTCACATGATTCAGTTGTGACATATAAATCAGTTTTACGACTCATATAATTCTAAATAATAATCCTTGTATATTATGTTGGGGTCAGGATTCCTGTTCCCAGCATAATATATATATATATATATATATATATATATATATATATATATATATATATATATATATATATATATATATATATATATATATATATATATAAGAGCCTAATATCAATAGGCTATGACTCACATGGATTAGTTACTACTCACGAAGATCAGCCTTGACACCAATGAATCAGCTTCGAATCACATCAACCAGTTACTACTCACATAAATCAGTTGTGTCCAACCACTTGGGCTGGACGGTAGAGCGACGGTCTCGCTTCATGCAGATCGGCGTTCAATCCCCGACCGTCCAAGTGATTGGTTACCATTCCCTCCCTCCCGTCCCATCCCAAATCCATATTCTGACCCCTTCCAAGTGCCTCATAGTCGCAATGGCTTGGAGCTTTTCCCCGAAAGTTCCCAGCCCTTCCCGACACTTAAAATTTGATTAACTCATCCATATATATATACTAGTCCTCCCTAGAGCAGCCTACACATCGTCAAACACATTTCCCCGGCCAATATTATATAATCGCTTAATAGATATGTCAACAAATCCGATGTTTCTCTCAGTTCCTGTATAACAACGTGCTCAGTTCCAACAACTTAGAACAAAACTTCACAAACTCACTCATAAATCTTACCGTTGACAAGTTACGATCAATCTCCATCCCCGACACTTTATGTATACCTCACAGGTATCTCTCGTGTCACACCGGCAAGTTAATTGGTCAATACAGAGTAAATTCGTGTCTCTACATGCACATGTATATCTCTATATGCTTATGTATAGTGTGTCCGCGTCTCTTCAGGTGTAATCAGTTTGTTCAACAATGTGTGCCCCCATGTGTTGTGTATCCCTACATGTGTGCCCCATGTTCTATGTATCCCTACATGTGGTTCCATGTACCCCTTTATTCCTTCAGGTGGGCTCACGTACACAACATTTTCTCAAAGGTGTGCCGTTGTTGAATATATCCGTGTGCCAACAGGTACGGCCAGCATAGGGGCGATGACAGACTACACATACACGTCCCCGTACACCCAGTACTCGTCGACGTACCCAGCTTACGGCTACGGCACCGGAGGGCTCCTTAGTAAGTAACTGTGAGTATTGATGTTCCTTATTCTTTGGTTCCTTGTGTTGCCGATATTGCTCCCCCGGATATCCTGGAGGAGTCTTGTGTTTGGCTGGTCCTGTCTTGGTTTGTATAGCGTCTTAGAGCCGCCTTAGAGAGAAAGTCTGCTTCGACAGAGATAGCTTACGATGCCAATAAGAGCCCCGATACCAAACTTGCATTAGTATGTGAAGACTGATCGAGTTAAAAAAAAATCCAGTTTGGCAGCAGGATGCTGCTTTTGTAAACTTTCCTTATTAAGTCTACTCATAGCCCAGTCGATAGACCTTCGGCCTCACACATATGTGTGGATCCACGGTTCGAGTCTCCTACAACCCAGGTGAATGGGACTGATCCACATAAATCAGTTGTGTCCAACCACTTGGGCTGGACGGTAGAGCGACGGTCTCGCTTCATGCAGATCGGCGTTCAATCCCCGACCGTCCAAGTGATTGGTTACCATTCCCTCCCTCCCGTCCCATCCCAAATCCATATTCTGACCCCTTCCAAGTGCCTCATAGTCGCAATGGCTTGGAGCTTTTCCCCGAAAGTTCCCAGCCCTTCCCGACACTTAAAATTTGATTAACTCATCCATATATATATACTAGTCCTCCCTAGAGCAGCCTACACATCGTCAAACACATTTCCCCGGCCAATATTTTATAATCGCTTAATAGATATGTCAACAAATCCGATGTTTCTCTCAGTTCCTGTATAACAACGTGCTCAGTTCCAACAACTTAGAGCAAAACTTCATAAACTCACTCATAAATCTTACCGTTGACAAGTTACGATCAATCTCCATCCCCGACACTTTATGTATACCTCACAGGTATCTCTCGTGTCACACCGGCAAGTTAATTGGTCAATACAGAGTAAATTCGTGTCTCTACATGCACATGTATATCTCTATATGCTTATGTATAGTGTGTCCGCGTCTCTTCAGGTGTAATCAGTTTGTTCAACAATGTGTGCCCCCATGTGTTGTGTATCCCTACATGTGTGCCCCATGTGCTATGTATCCCTACATGTGGTTCCATGTACCCCTTTATTCCTTCAGGTGGGCTCACGTACACAACATTTTCTCAAAGGTGTGCCGTTGTTGAATGTATCCGTGTGCCAACAGGTACGGCCAGCATAGGGGCGATGACAGACTACACATACACGTCCCCGTACACCCAGTACTCGTCGACGTACCCAGCTTACGGCTACGGCACCGGAGGGCTCCTTAGTAAGTAACTGTGAGTATTGATGTTCCTTATTCTTTGGTTCCTTGTGTTGCCGATATTGCTCCCCCGGATATCCTGGAGGAGTCTTGTGTTTGGCTGGTCCTGTCTTGGTTTGTATAGCGTCTTAGAGCCGCCTTAGAGAGAAAGTCTGCTTCGACAGAGATAGCTTACGATGCCAATAAGAGCCCCGATACCAAACTTGCATTAGTATGTGAAGACTGATCGAGTTAAAAAAAAATCCAGTTTGGCAGCAGGATGCTGCTTTTGTAAACTTTCCTTATTAAGTCTACTCATAGCCCAGTCGATAGACCTTCGGCCTCACACATATGTGTGGATCCACGGTTCGAGTCTCCTACAACCCAGGTGAATGGGACTGATCGATTTATATTCTAATTAAAACATTGCAAATATTAATACGAACATTAATTAATAACTAATTAATTAATAATTAAGCTATTCATATTTTTGTTTAATTAATATACTCTGTTATACATTTCCATATGATGTGTGTCATTCGAATCACATTTGAGGTTTACTAATAACAAGAATATTTTGAAGCCTAGCGCTTAATTATGCGTACGACAATAATTAACATATTGGAAAATTCCTCGGTTTGAAATGTAGAGTTGAGCTCTATTGGTAACATTTTGGAAATCCCGTAAATGAGCATTTGACACTAACCACAAATGGGGTGATTAGGCCAAATGCCTTCCTCTCTGCCTTCGTATCTCCAGACGTTAATCCTGTACGAGATTTGACTCCTTGTGAGAGATGTGGTTCTCCACTTGTCAGTGGGAGTTTGGGGCTCTATTGTTACCCACAGGTCACCTTTGTAATGTGGGGCTCTATGGTCACCCACAGGTCACCTTTGTAATGTGGGGCTCTGAAGTCACCCACACTTTGTAATGTGGGGCTCTATAGTCACCCACAGGTCACCTTTGTAATGTGGGGCTCTGTAGTCACCCACACTTTGTAATGTGGGGGCTCTGTAGTCACCCACACTTTGTAATGTGGGGCTCTATAGTCACCCACAGGTCACCTTTGTAATGTGGGGCTCTGTAGTCACCCACACTTTGTAATGTGGGGCTCTATAGTCACCCACAGGTCACCTTTGTAATGTGGGGCTCTGTAGTCACCCACACTTTGTAATGTGGGGGCTCTGTAGTCACCGTCTGATTCAGGTGTCTTCGACGCAGTTCGACGAACTTACTAAAAAAACTGTATTGTCAGTTACGGTTGATTGACTTCATAAATGGCTCAGGCAGAAAATAGCTAATTTTGATCATTTTGGTGAATTTCTTTATATTATTTATGTTGTTGAGTTTCTATTGAATAGAAATTGGTTGCCATTTTCATCATTTATTTCGTAGTTTGACGTTTTCTGTTTTGATTTTTTTTAATGGCTTATTATTTATTTACATAAGGTTCACTGCATATTTTTTATCATTCTTAACTGTCAACACGTTATGGCATACTAAAGGCGCTTGCATGTCCTGTTTTAACCGTCTTACCACAAATAAATCATCTCGTTTGTTTCATGTCTCTCCGCAGACATGGGGAACTACAGCGGCTCCGGTAACGGTGGTAACAACAGCGGCGGTGGAAGTAACAGCAACAGCAGTACCAACGCCAACACTAACAACAGCAGTAACAGCAGCAACAACAATGCTGCAGCTCGGCTACGCATGCTGCAGTCGACGCTGGGTTCCTCGGCGTGCCTAAGACAGGACCGCTGCACGTAGTGCTGTGTCTCCACCTCGCTATAGTGTCCGTTGACATGCAGATGTCCGGTTTATCAAGACATCTGTAATACAGCAGGCCTTCGTTACTACACCTCCTGTGCAATGACTGTCCAGTATGACTTAGTGTGAACGAGAGAGACGGAAAGGGAGCTCATAAGGAGGAAGGAAGAAAGATGAAGACGAACTTTGATAAGTCTCTGTGATCGCCGCGCCAGGAGACGTCTAGTTTAGCTGAGTGCGTGTTTAAGGAGCACGGACCGATCTCTAGCTAGGATACCAAAGAACCACCACTCTCAAGTCACGAGCTTGCTTGAGTCAGGGTCTTGCCGGACTCTTCCTTCTTCAGGCACATGCACACACACACATAGGAGAGAACCTCATGAACCCCAGGCATTTAATTTTGTACATAGCACTCCCTCAGAAGGGCCTTCCTAGTGTGTCTGAAGGAGGCAAGCAAGGGGCGTGGAGACCCTGACTCACACAAAGACACACCTTTCCACTCTGGGCGCGGGAAGCCGTCCTCCTGTCGTAGGATGACGGGCATCTCCCTAGCGCCAAAGACTTCTCCTATCCGCTCTTGGTTTTCATTGGGGTTGATCACTGTCCTGGACCTAGATCTACTGACTCGTGTTTTTGGCATCGATCAAAAACTTTCTAAATCCCTGTAACATTAAGATTTATTTTTTCAGCAAAGGCGCCTGTGAAATGGTGATTCGATTACCTCTTATATAATTATATATATATATATATATATATATATATATATATATATAATATTTACATATACCTCTCACACGGTCAGAAGAGGCTAAGAACGACAACAGAATATAGACTGTGTTCCTGTTAGTAGGTTGGAGGTCCGCCCCATTACCTCTGAAGACTGTTTACCAAAGAGGCGTCTTCTGGCTTCTGCCTCCTTAGCCTGTTTGTACCAGGCGATGTTTAGTCAGGTGGACCTCTCTTGTGGAGGTTGCTATATGTTTCCTAAGTCTAGGAAGCGGTTTTGTATAGACAAGTTTTTAAAAGGACAAGTTGAACTGTATTAAAAAAAAATCCTATTTATAATGTCTGCAAAAAATAAGGAATTAGGTAGGTCGTAGTGTTAAGGAGAGTTGGGAGTAAGAATGATTTTTTACGCTTGTTTTTTTTATTTTTATTTATTTTGACCGTTGTTACTGAGTTTGTGTGTACAGTATTAACCCGTAGTGTTACTGCTCGCAATATCTAGCAGCCCCCATCTTCCAGTCACAAAGTATTACATAAAATGTTTATATTATGCTAATTGTAACCGGTATTCCTAGCCAAGTACCGGTTATTTTTGTATTTCGTAGATTCAGTACGGATTTCTTGTAACAGCCACGTCACCTACGGGTCACTCCAGACCTGCTCGTCAGGATTCTTACTTTTACACAACCATCATAAAAGTGGCGTCTAAGCTTTATAAACGGATGTGTACCTAAGCATCAGGTAACAGTTTGTATTCCCATATGGCTAACTAAACTAGTCTCATTTATTAAAGAAAAAATTAATCCCTATTTTTTTCTCCCTGATGAGTATTATTCGCTCATAAAAACTTAAAAAAAAAAAACTCTTGCTACATCCGAATCTGTATTGATCGAACTCTACTTGATTCTCAAGGCTCATGCTCTAAGAAATATTTCTTAACCTTTTCCAAAACGACACTCAAAGTGTGATTTGGTTCAGAGTTCGGGGCCTCACATAATTGTTTCGGAGCGCAGGCTGTTGGGTGTGGTCTTAGGCTTTTATGAAAATTGATCTGTAGCCCTTTCTTGCGCCTCCACTGCATTCTTCTTGTATAGGTAAATTATTATTATTATTATTATTATATATTTTTGACTTCGTTTATGCACATCAACATGTAAAGTCACTGTTGTTCACTATGATTTTGTTGCTTTAATTTTGCTCTGAAATTTTTTTATTAGTTCTTTTCGATAACAGTTTTTATATATATATTTTTTTTCTACAACCTTCAAAAAGTATGAGTAATATGCATCAGTATGTTCCAAATATATTGGTTGCCAGTTTATGTATTGCTTGTAAAACACAAACGCTATGGCAAAACTGAGAGTGTCTTCCAAGACTTTGATGTAAAGCAGACTGTTTGTATTTCAACTGATGCTATTTGAGTCACACGTTGAACCTACACATTGATGTATGCAGCAACTATAGGTAGTTATAGAAATAAAACAACTGCAGTTTATAATATAACATAGTCTCATTATCCACAATGTAATCACAAGAAACATCTGTCAGAAAGAAAAAATATTGACAGAAAATACATCTATTGATGTAATCTGTAAAAGACATTTTGACAAAACATAATTTTTGTCGATTAATAGAAATGCAAAACTTTAAGTGTTCTATAAATGTCGAATGTCTTATAAGGGATTTGAAGTCTCGTAGATACGTTATTTAAGTTTTTAAATTATGAAAAATTTATATAATATAAAGATTTATATAATAAAATTATACAATAAAAAATTATTTAATACATATTTAAAATTATTATATTAAAATTTTAAATTATGTTTTGTAAAAAAAAAACGCATACAACAATTAAGATGCTAGTTTTTATACTTAAGAGATAATGGTGTTAATCAAGTGGAATATATTATGATCAGTTGGGCCGGACGTACAGTGGCGTGAGACGTGGAGCGCCGCCGCACACACACACACACAAACATCCTACCAGCAAGAGGGCCAGAAAATAAGTAAAACAAAGCAATACTGGCACCCCTTCCATTATTACCATCATTGTCCACGCTATCGGGCAGGCTGCTTCCTGATTGGCTGACTGGTAACAGCTGTCGACCAATCACGGCAGCTCCTTCCGGCTTATGTCTTTAAGAGGGCACTCTTGCAAACCCTGTAGGTTTTGGAACTATTTATGCCGAGGAACATGGAGGCTTTCTTCTGAGATTTTTCTCCTGCAGGAGGAGAGAAGCGGTGAACTGGTTTAGAGATATTATTTTTCCTTATATTAATAAAATAGTTTTTGTGTTTCCTTTATGTCTTGTGAGTCTATCCTTTTACCAAGGCAAGAAGGACATTTTATATTAATATAAACCTTTTAATTTATATATAACCTTGTAAAATAACCACTAAATATTTTCATAATACACAGTCAACAACCAATCTTTTACTAGACGCAGTGATAAACTAAATCACATGAGATGGTCATTAAAACTGAAAGAAATCTCGGCATAAGAGTTGATGCCAGACACTTGCAGGCATGATATCAACGCCTCATGGGAGTAGCAGCATGATACAACATCACGACTAGTAGTGTCGTAATGGATCTTGCTCATGCCAATGAATTTCAAGCAGGCAACCTAGTTGATATCTGCGAGTTTCTATGGATTATAATCGGCGTGGCGGGTCGGTTCGTAACTTGGTGGGCCGCGGGGCGGGAATACCAGGGTTCCCCCTCCCCGCGCGCGCTGAGATCGATGGGTGAGGCGGAATCATTGCCACATTCCCCTTGACCGAGGACTCACGGGGGCTCTTGTAATGCATTATGCTTCGTGGCTGTTTCTCGGGGAAGGTGTACCACGCACACACACACCTCGTGTAGGCACGGTGGTACACTCCCTGGCACTCATTGACAGTGCCAATAGAGTACCAGCGAGGGGTAAATAATGATTACAGAGGGAAAAATCGGGAGCAGTGGTCGAGGGTAAGAGAGGGGAAAGTGTGTGTGTGTGTGTGTGTGTGTGTGTGTGTGTGTGTGTGTGTGTGTGTGTGTGTGTGTGTGTGTGTGTGTGTGTGTGTGTGTGTGTGTACTCACCTAGTTGTGCTTGCGGGTGGTTAAGCTCTGGCTCTTTGGTCCCGCCTCTCAACTGTCAATCAACTGGTGTACAGGTTCCTGAGCCTATTGGGCTCTATCCACCACATCACTGCCTAATGCATTCCATTTGTTAACTACTCTGACACTGAAAAAAATCTAACGTCCTTGTGGCTCATTTGGGTACTCAAGTTTCTAAACGTGTCCCCTTGTTCGCGTACCACCCGTGTTAAACAGTTTATCTTTATCTATCCTGCCAATTCCTTTGAGAATTTTGTAGGCAGTGATCATGTCTCCCCTAGTTCTTCTGTCTTCCAGTGTCGTGAGGTTCAGTTCCAGTAATCTTTCCTCATAACTCATTCTTCTCAGCTCTGGGACTATCCTGGTGGCATACCTCTAAACCTTTTCTAACTTATTTTTGTGTGTTTAACTAGATGTGGACTCCATGCTGGAGCCGCATATTCCAGCATTGGTCTGACGTATGAGACATACAAGGTTTTGAATGATTCTTTACACAAGTTTCTGAAGGCTGTTCTTATGATCGTTACCATTGTAAACGCCGCTGATGTTATCCTTTTGATGTGGGTTTCAGAGGACAGGTCTGGTGTGATATCAACCCCCAGATCTTTCTCTCGTCCTAACTCCTGAAGGATTTCCTCTCCCAGTTGGTACCTTGTGTTTGGCTTCCTGCTACCTACGCCTTTATTCATCATTTTGCACTTGCTCGAGTTAAACTCTAGTTGCCATTTGTTGGACCATTCCTTCAGTCTGTTCAGGTCATCCTGTAGCCTCTTGCTGTCCTCTTGTCTTAATCTTTCTCACAATTTAGCATCATCAGCAAACATTGCGAGGAATGAGTCAATACCTTCTGGAAGATCGTTTACATATATCAGAAATAGGATGGGTCCAAGTACAGAGCCCTGTGGGACTCCGCTGGTGACATCTCGCCACTCTGATGTCTCCCCCCTCACAGTTACTTGCTATTTCCTATTGCTTAGATACTCCCTTATCAATTGGAGCACCTTACCAGTTATTCCAGCTTGTTTCTCCAACTTGTGCAAAAGCCTCTTATGGGGTATTGTGTCAAAGGCTTTCTGACAGTCTAAGAAAATTCAGTCTGTCCACCCTTCTCTTTTTTTACTTATTTTTGTCGCCTAGTCATAGAATTCTATTAAATCTGGGAATGCACAATTTCCCATGCCTGCATGAACCCATGCTGATGGTATATTTCAAAGCTCCTTCTCTCCAGATGTTCTACGAGCCTTTTCCTCACAATCGTCTCCATCACCTTGCATGGTGATGGAGTGAAACTGGCCTGTAGTTCAGTGCCTCTTGTCTGTCACCCTTTTTCTATATTGGGACTACATTAGCTGTCTTCAATTTTCCAGTAGGTAGGTCTCTTGTTTCCAGTGAGTTGTTATATACCATAGAGAATGGCAAACTTAGTGCTTCTGCACCCTCTTTTAGTATCCATGGTGAGATTCTGTCAGGCCCAACAACCTTTGTCACATTCAGGTCCAACAGACTCCTTTTGACTTCATCACTGGTGAGCTCAAATGCCTCCAAGGATGCTTGGCTTACCGCCTCCTCTCTCAGTTCAGGAACTTCTCCTTGCTCTATTATGAAGACCTTGTGGAATCTTTTTGAGTTCTTCACACACACCTCCATGTCATTCTCTGTGTATCTTCTCCCCTTTTCTCAGTATCATCACTTGTTCCCTCACTACTGTTTTTCTCCTGCTGTGACTGTGGAGCAGTTATGGCTCAACAGTTCAGGTTGGGTATTGGCTTTACTTGCAATGTCATTTTCATACTGTTTCTCTGCTTCTCTCCTCACTCTGAGGTACTCATTTCTGGCCCTGTGGTATCTTTCCCTGATCTCTGGTGTTCTGTTATTTATGTAGTTTCTCCATGTTCTTGTGCTTAATTGCTTTGCTTCCTTACATGCCTGACTGAACCATGGACAGTACACACACAACAGGCAGGCAGGAGTAAAAGGTAAGGTACTCCACTGGATAAGAGAGTACCTAAGCAACAGGACACAGCGAGTCACCGTCAGAGGTGAGATCTCGGAGTGGCGGGGAGTCAGCAGTGGAGTCCCACAAGGATCAGTCCTTGGACCTATACTGTTTCTGATATACGTAAATGATCTTCCAGAAGGAATTGACTCGTTCCTCTCGATGATTGCTGATGACGCGAAAATTATGAGGAGGATCAGGACAGAGGAGGATAGTATGAGGCTACAAGATGACCTAGACAAACTGAAGGAATGGTCCGACAAATGGTTACTAAAGTTCAACCCAAGTAAATGTAAGGTAATGAAATTAGGAGGAGGAACTAGGAGGCCAGTCACTGGATACCGAATGGGAGATGAAGTCCTTCACGAAACAGAGAGAGAAAAAGATCTGGGAGTTGATATCACGCCAAACTTGTCTCCTGAAGCGCACATCAAAAGAATAATATCAGCGGCCTATGCGAGGCTGGCTAACATCAGAACTGCTTTCAGAAACCTGTGTAAGGAATCCTTCAGAACCTTGTATACCACATATGTAAGGCCAATCCTGGAGTATGCGGCCCCAGCATGGAGTCCGTACCTAGTCAAGCACAAGACGAAGCTGGAAAAAGTTTAGAGGTATGCCACTAGGTTAGTCCCAGAACTAAGAGGCATGAGTTATGAGGACAGACTACGTGAACTGCACCTCAGGTCGCTGGAAGACAGAAGAGCTAGGGGAGACATGATCACCACATACAAAATTCTCAGGGGAATTGACAGGGTGGACAAGGATGGATAATTTACGGGTGGCACACGCACAAGGGGACACAGGTGGAAGCTGAGTACCCAAATGAGCCACAGAGACATTAGAAAGAACTTTTTCAGTGTCAGAGTAGTTAGTAAATGGAATGCATTAGGAAGTGATATGGTGGAGGCTGACTCTATACACAGTTTCAAATGTAGATATGATAGAGCCCAGTAGGCTCAGGAATCTGTACATCAGTTGATTGACGGTTGAGAGGCGGGACCAAAGAGCCAGAGCTCAACCCCCGCAAACATAACTACGTGAATACAACTAGGTGAGTACATGTGGAAACTTAGTACCCAGATGAGCCACAGAGACGTTATAAAGAATTTTTTCAGTGTCAGGGTAGTTAACAAATGGAATGCATTAAGTAGTGTTGTGGTGGAGGCAACACAGTTTCAAATGTAGATATGATAGAGCCCAGTAGGCTCAGGAATCTGTACACCAGTTGATTCACAGTTGAGAGGCGGGACCAAAGAGCCAAAGCTCAACCCCCGCAAGCACAAATAGGTGAGTACAGATAGGTGAGTACACACCGATATACCAAATGACAGAAGGCCCAGACTTGAAAATGATAGAAACAACATGGCCACCATTAACATAATAGAGAGCAGCTTCTGTTGC